AAGTTGACATTCTCGCTAATACAAATCTATAAAATAAAAATTACTTTACTGTTTTATTTACTGTAAGTCCTTAGAGTACGTACATACTTAGCTAAGTTCATAGAGTAATTACATACTTAGGTTAATGATGCGACAATAAACTGACTTAATGTTGATTTCATTTATTTTATAAATTATCATATGCATTTACGATTGTAAAAGTCAATCTGACCCGCTGGGCAGAAAAGCGCTGGATGCGGTTGGTGGTAGTGGACATACTTTCGGGGGCGTGGTTCTATTTTATCAATAGATTTAAAACAAGAGTGTGTTTGTTATGAAACTCGAACGTCAATGAGTTTCCACCATAAGTCTTCTGGGTTTATAAACTGGTTCTTCCCAGGACGGAGGTGTTTTCCTAACCAGTGGTAAAATAAAAAAATACTTTCAATAAGAATTACATGTAATCCTTATTGAATATAAATTATTCTATTCTATAATATCTATTCTATTCTATTCTATGATGTCTACAAGTCTTACGACAACGATCGTCATAGTGAATGTTGGTGAGAATTCTTTCGGCGTTTGACTAACAGAATAATGCGTAAATCTATAAATTTATGGAAAGCATGCTACTGACAACCACGTAATAAACTTGTGCTGTAAGAGTTATATGATCCTTATTTATCAATATTTTAAGCAAATTAATCATAGACAAATACATATCTCTTTGGTTTATATTAGTAAAAATTTTGTGTAAACATTGTCCAGTAGGGTAGCCCCCTATTAAATGGAGTGACGACCTGGTAAGAAATGCGGAAGTCGATGGATGCAGGTGGCTCAGGACCGTGCTTTGTGGCATTCCTTGGGGGAGGTCTATTTTCAGCAGTGTTCTCGTGAAGGGCTGCCACGATGATGATGATTGTTAGTAGCTTACTTTTCATAAATTGTTACATTTACGCATATTTACGTCGGTCGTTTTTTTAAGGACAATAAAGAATTTGCTATCTATCTATCGTATCCATGAAGCTTATAGACATCTGCAAACAACTCCAAATGAAGAAGAAATAAATGCATTGCTATCCGTAAGGAATAAAATGAAATGGTTTACATTCTGTTATTAATAATACAGGTTCTATTATCTAGTTAGAAAATAGAGCGCCATTTCTGTCTAAAATTCGTCTAGATTGACTTCCTCTAGTCTATTTCATTTGCCAAGTAGCAGTGTGCGTATTACTTTGAATAAACTTAAATATTAATGACAAAATATGAGTTTATACAAAATGTAGAATGACGATTTATACCAACCACATAAATGTACAAACAGACTGCCTTAACGCTAAAGAGCGGTCTCTTCCAAGCATGCGACAGGTGAAGATTTAAATTATTTATAAGAAACGTTATGTGATTGAGAACATAATTTTTTTTATTACGTTTTTAAATAATTTTAATGAAATTTTATCACATTCAAAGCAATAAAATTCAATATTCAACGCGTCAATAAAGTAAATTCAATTTATTTGACTCGACTGAGTAAAATTCGTTGAAATATTTCAACACCGGGTTTTTAAATAAACATACAATATATATTTTAAAAATTATTAATATTGACGGTGTCTACAATCCTCAACTCTCTCGAAAGTGTAAACAAATTCGCCAAGTGAATACAAATCTGGTAGCGCTACACAATTGTGTAATTTAAACTTAGCAAACATTTCACAGTTGTTCGCAAGAACATTAATGTTGGAAATATTTAAAATTGAATGAATTCACAATTTTTAAGAATGATGGTTATTTATAGTGCATACTGTCCACCTGCAAGTTTGTTGTCAAGTGGGGTAACCGCTCCATGGACACCTGTAACCAAATCACAACAAAGAAGGCAGTAGCCTTCTTTGTACGTTGTCACCTCTGAGGACTAAAATGGAATGCCTCACAGCGTGTTATTTTACTAGCTCTTTATACCCTATCTGCAGTGAATACAGCACTACACGCACTGCTGGCTCAATGCAAAAATATATAAGAGTATGGTACCAGATGGACCCAGACAGACTTAGAAAAAGAAAAGAATTCCTACCGTCAGTTACCACTTACATGCGGATCGTTTTCACTGCTGATCTCGTGGTAAATCTGTACTAAAATTGCAATTACTGGTTTCAATAGCGCTGGCGGAGACTGAACTGGATTTGCTCACTTACTATGAAACCCCTGAACTTGCATGGCACGTAATCGAAGATCTATTAATTTACCTAATTAAGCTTGATTTAAAGTTTTAACTGATAACTAGCGAATGGCCGCAACGCCGTTCGCGTGTTATTTATATCAGTAAGAAATAATATAATTTCAGTAAGGAATATTATCATGCAAACGTTGAGTGACCCCCACTAGATGGAGGGACAACCTCCGAACCAGTTCCCGCCTCGTCAACGTTGGAGGGTTCTTATTGACCGTGGCTTAGTTACCCACGATGAACCTTAGTTCACCTCACCGTCAACCTTTTCCCCTTAAGAAAAAGGTTACAATGGAGCTAAAGACCAGAAGCACCACTGGGGTCAGGAAAGCCGATGTTTTCGAGTGCTCATTTTTTCGTAACCCCATGGCCTCCACGTATGTGCGTCTTACCTAAGAAGGAGAACATGACATGTCCTTTCCCAAAGAGGAGGTGCCATGAGGCAACCGGTGCTAGTGAGGCAGTGAGTACATGCGAAAGAGCCCTTGGCCATTCCAATATGCGACTAATGTGAAAGACAATGGGGCTTTAGTCGGTGCAAGTCTGACATAATCCATCCGTGCCCCCCGCGAGGCGGGTATGCACAATAATTTCCCCATGTAAAAAAAAGATGAAGGGGAAATCTGTTGAAACATGGGAGTCGATGGATGCTGGTGGTTCATGTGGCAGTCTATATTTAGCAGTAAGCTTGTGATGGATTGTAAGAATAATTATTCTGAAGCATAAATTGTCTTGAATGGTTTTATGCCCAGGAAGAATAAACAATTTATTTAGATTTTTCAAACGCCGGCGGCATTGTGTAAGGTCCTCTTGTTTATTCTTCTGAAATTGTCAAGCGTATTAGTACTAAAGCAAAAAGAGCTTTGAAAAAAACCAGTACATCCAACTTCAAAGATGTCCTCGCGGTTACTGGCTTTGTTTTCAATTTTTTCACAAAATAAAACAAATTTGTAAAATGGATTCCCATTATTCCAATAAAATAAGCTTTTCTTTTTTAATTTGATGTAAGTTTTACACGGTTTCATTAACGATACACGTTACACAAGGTACACGTTTAAAAATCGATGAACGAGTTTTCTTTTCTGTTCAAAAAATAAAACGTTACCTCCACTCAAGAAATTTTTCTCCTATATTGTAGGGGCAGTTTACATGCATAAATGTCACAAGAACAAACATCTAGAACCGGACCAATTATTTGTAGGCCATACAAATACTTGTTCGGTGCGGGAATCAAACCCGCGGCCCTTAGCTCTGCAACACATTGCCAAACCACTACTTCATGGAGCACGGAGATCTATTTCTACACAACTGTTATCATGTTTTGCTCTTTAAAAAAACGCTAGCATCCACTCGGATTTTATGCAGTAACGTTTTCGTGGGCGTTTTCCATACATAAACATCCAGGTGCGGAATAATTATTTGTAGGCCATATATACACTTGTTCCGTGCGTGATTTAAACCCGCGGCCCCGCATCGCAGAATATGCTTAACTACTTCGCTACCGAACCGTGTGCGTAAGTACTTCCTCAATTTAAGATAAATTCCTAGTGGTGAATAACGTGTAAAAAAAGGAGAAAAGGGAGAAAACTTAGTGTCCCATGAGCGTTGTATAAGGATATCCATTAGATCGTTGGATTGCAGATTTCAAGAGGCTCCAAATCATTATATTATATACATATTTATAGAAAAACTTGTGTCGAAAGTGATGGCTGACTATACTGAACTAGTTATTTCTAGTAAGTATCAAGCACGATTTCTAATATCCTAAGTATTACTACGCATTGATCACCTAAAGTTTAATCATACTCGTAAGTTCTGATGAATACCTCTTGTGATAAAGTCAAATATTCCACCTAACATATAGTCCACCTATCGATAAGAAAACGCTATGGTCGGTAGACATCTACATCAATATTGATAATAAGATGGAATGCCTCATTATCATTAAAAAGAGTTATAGTATAGTTGCCGTCACGAAACGTGAGCACAGATGAACTATGGTGGGGGTTAAGCCAGCCTAGATATACTTTCGGCCAAAATTATGAGATACTTTTGTTATTTCAATTCATAATTGAATATTTTCGCTGACTTTTTTTCTAAATTCCGATTCGTTAACTCCTTTAACTATACGCCGTACAGTAGCTACGTAGACATTAGTCGCCCCAGCAGTCTGTTTATAAACGTCTATCATGTTTTCGCAATACCTAATTATTTCATGTAATAAAACACTGAATAGACCATTTGTCGCGATTGTCTATTTCACACCGAATTCTTTCTTCTCTGCATGTTTAGACCAAACTCCGAATGCTCAAATTATAACAAAAAAAAATTAACAACAAGTAATATTAAAAACAAGAAATACACAATAATTAACAACGAGGTAACACTACAATTAACAAAAATAAACTAATTAAAAAATTATCACTAAAATTGCTCTCAAGTGTACGGTAGTTGAATGATACGTGCGAACCCAATAGACGACGAGAATCGGCTGACGAACCAATCGCGTTGAGCGTCAGCGTGGTCAACGTCATATCGACCAATAAAAATTGGGCTCACGACTCGTGGCGCAATTATACAGTTCTCTACAGTCACCATACGAAATTTGAATATGAATTATTTTGCTGCTCCACGCTGGTATTGCTGGTCGTGCTTCAAATAAATATAGCCGCATTATAGATCTACCACGTAAAAAATTATACATTAAAATTAATATATATATATATATATATATATATATATATGTATATATATATATATATATACTGCTCACCTCTCGGGCCAGAGCTGACTTGGCACTGGTATGAAGCATCGTCGTCCAAAGTCACTTCTCGTATATCCAATGAATAATCTCCTGGGAAATAAAACAGAGAATTATTTACACATCATGAAAACTATTAGCATTGCCGTGTAGTGGTGGCTTAAGGTTATTAATCAGCGAATATGCAAAACACCAGAAATTCCAATCTTTACTTTACTACTTCGTTTATGCTAGATCACAAAAAAAATCCTTAGATGGACTGTTATGTTAAGATATCTAAATTATTGTTTCAAGGTGAAAATATTTTTTCTAAAACCACTAATTACTATTGGAAATTTTTGGTGCTGTTGGCATTCAATCCGGATCTCTAAACTCTATAGCCAGGTAGACTAACAGCTTTGCCACGCCTTGCAGCCGTTCAAATGCATATTTTAAGCATCCTGCACTAAACGAGATCTAGAATTATATTTTACGATTTCTTATCTATTAAATAATTTTTATTCTTTTGTACACACTACTTTTGGACATTTACGAAGGCGATTAACATTCAAAGCGGTTTCCGTTACAAATAAATTAGGGTCCATTAACATTTTCTTTATGTTTCATGTGTGGGCGATATCTATAAAATAGATTAGAGGTCAATTTATAAGTGTCATAGTTTTGTTTGTACTTTAGAGCACCACTGATAACTACTTTGACATTATACACCGTGTTTTTATATCTAAGAATCATCCTTAATAGGTAAATGGTTCAAGATATATTGGTATCTATATTAATTTGGACAGACTTTATAGTAGGCGGAGGTCCTCAATTCAATATCTTATCTGGAATATCTCCGAAGTCACTTAACCGATTTTGTAAATATTTATTTTTCGAAAGAGCACTTTTTTATCGGTCCCTTTTCTTTAAATGTTCGTTGTTTTTTTTTTAAACTATTTAATTACTATATAATAGACTAAGAGCACTGTGTAATGGTAGCTTAGAAAAATATATCACGCTCTCTCGTCCCGTGAGTATCGTAAAAGACGACTAAGGATACAGCGCTAGGATATACGGAGGATATATGGCCTCAGAGGGTGGCGGAATAACAATATTGCTCACGCCATTATGCTTAGTCATTAAATACCCAGGCGAGTAGCGTTGAACAGCGTCAAACATGCAAATTTCCTTTCCTCAGACCAGTAATACCACTGTTACTATACCTGCAGCCAAGTTATATCCAGTTTTTTTTTCGGTTTAAAAAGTATGGGGAGCTGGTGTTATTATAAGTCGTGAAGATGTGACGACGCAACTTTTAATAGAATAAGGGTGACAAAAGAACTTACATTTCATCTGATAGTAAGTAGTCTCTCTAGCCCATAGACCTGAGCAAGCTATATAAAGCTAGTATCATAGAATACTATAATACATACATAATAGAACGTTGGAGTGACATTTGGCTACATGGAACCCGTGTAGCCACTAAAATGTCACTAACATGTCAATTCACACGTTTAAATGTCGACACGAGATGTGTTTTGACATTACACTCGTTTACAAATTTCGCACCCAAATTATTTAGAAAATGCCAAAGCACACTATTTACAAATAAATATGTATTAAAATTTAAAAGATTTTTTAATGATGAACTTGAATTTTAATCAAAAATCTAAAATGTGTAAATTTACTCAGTCTGTCAACACATCGAATCGGGTTTGTAGTAGTGATAATACGACGTAATTGCTTGTATGTGTGCACCCGGCGACGCCGATCCTCGTACAAAATATGGTTGACTGCCATTCTATTATGTATTATGGTATTCTATGGCTAGTGAACATAAGCAAGCAATGCCTGCTGCCCATAGCTTGTTTAATTCCTCTGTCGCCTCATACGACACCCACGGAAGGACATGGGTTAGGAAATACTCTTTCCCCGACAATTCACATAATAAATAATAAATGAAAATATTTATTATTTTCAATTGGTTGACAATAATCTCTGGGAATTATTAATTCCTGGTAAGCTGTTTTCTAAAGTTATTTCTAAATAGAGTCTTATAAACCATAGTACAAATTATTACTTTAAGAGGCCTACTGGGTTTGTTATCCAGGACAGAGATTTATTCGAATTAGTGGTAAAGCAAAATTTTAGTTTAAATAACAATTATTTATAAATTACGATCCGTATTAAAGTTAAAGTTACAGCTTACAGCCCGTATACGTTTCATTGTTGAGAAAATGCTACTTATTTCTGAAAGGGTTTTAGGGCAAGGTAACTCCGCTCCACTGCCCTAATGCGTGTTAAGGAACTTTACATACCTTAGAAATATGTATACATTTTTTTAATTTCTCAAACATGCAGGTTTCCTCACGATGTTTTCCTTTACCACCTAGCACGTGGTAAATAAGCGTTTAAAATTGCAGTTAACAATTTCATTATTGCCGGAGGGGATCGAACACGGGTTGCGTGCATTGTGTGATATTTACAGCGAGCTACCACGGCTAAATATTTATATCTTGAACTAATATTTATATATATTGAATAACAAGTATTCTACTTTGTTTCTATTATATACCTACGTGTTTATTTTAGAAAGATAAGTACAGAAACGGAATATTCCCTTCTGGGTTATTTTAGTAGTGCAACATATTTCTAAATTTATCTCGATTCTCAGCGTTGCATCTAGCGCCAAAGATATTTTCACAATTTTATGAGAGCAACTGTACTGCGTACTCCTCGACAAATAACTTTTAGTAGTTATTTAGCTCTTCATTTTGCGGTTTATAGAATCTAATTCTACTGTTTTTAAAAATATTTAAATCAAAAGCGTTCATAATGTGCACAGCAGTCACCTGTTTAATTATGTCCTGAGTGAGTTCTTTTTTATAACAATAAAGGTGACAAACTCGCACACGGTTAAAATACTATGGTGCGGAGACATCTACATATTAGTACTCTTTTTTTCTATTCTAAGCCAGTACTAAGCTACAATCTCACCTGATTGTACGTGGTGATGTAGCCTAATCAAAAGCGTGTATAATGCACGCACAGCAGTCACCTGCGTTCTTTTTTTATAACAATAAAGGTGACAAACTCGCACACGGTTAAAATACTATGGTGCGGAGACGTCTACATATTAGTACTCTTTTTTTCTATTCTAAGCCAGTACTAAGCTACAATCTTACCTGATTGTACGTGGTGATGTATCCTAATCAAAAGCGTGTATAATGCACGCACAGCAGTCACCTGTTTAATTATGTCCTGAGTGAGTTCTTTTTTATAACAATAAAGGTGACAAACTCGCACACGGTTAAAATACTATGGTGCGGAGACATCTACATATTAGTACTCTTTTTTTCTATTCTAAGCCAGTACTAAGCTGCAATCTCACCTGATTGTACGTGGTGATGTAGCCTAAGATAAGAAAAGCACACAGACTTAACAAAAGTCTATTCACTCTTGCCTTGAAGACACCCACATTGTGATTGGATGGAAAGACAACTTATTCTACTCTACATATACATATATCCAAGGGTAATATACGAATACCATACGAAACTCTGATAATCTGTTCGAAGTTTATCCTTCCCTGTTTGAGCCGACCCATTTGTGCTGCGGCGTGGATTTACCACGAGTAGAGTCTGCTTTTTAGAACACTTTGTAGTAACATATAGTCAAATAATATCCTTTTTATGAAAATAACTTTTGAGATAGCCGTGGCGCTCATCAGCTCAGTTAACGAGCCATGGTAGCTCATATGCTAAGGCACTTGGCTCACCGCATACAATGGACGCGAAGCGGCAAAACCCAGGAATTATAAAATAGTTGACGAGCAGCGAGAAGCTTATGTGTAGTTCCGTTAGTTTTGTCGCTGGGCTATAAGCGAGTACACTTATATCCGCACTTTAGAATAAAATAAGCGCCGGTTGGTTTCTCGGCGAGGGTTCTGACCCCCAAACTAGCATCACTGAGCAAATTTTATCCTTAATAGCTCTTGCCGCTGCGACAAACTAGTGGAGAGAGAGACCTTTCCGGCGGTGTGAACAGCCTGATCTGATCTTATATCTTTTGTTCACTTCTTAAGCGAAAAAATTGTCGATAGCTACTCGCGTGCACGTCGGCGGTGGGACATGTGCCTAAGTAATTGCCATAAATTTCACAATACGCATTTTTCATTGCAATTTTAAGGACTGATTTACTACTCGATTGAAGGAAAATATCGTGAATAAAAACCTGCATGTCTTAAAAGTTAAAAATATATTTTGAAAAACATGTGAAGGTCGTCAATACGCATTAGGGCAGTGCGGCAAACATTTCTTTTAGTTACGACTCAGATCACCACAGAAGAAAAAAAGTAATTTCCGAAATATTTCGAAAAATTCGTCTGAGCTTTGCCGTAGTAAGTGCGATAAAAAATGCAAAGGTATGCAAAATCTCGTCGTAGTGCCAATGAAATGAGCCGATCAGAAAGAAATCGATTGTTGACGATTCGAGTCGTTTTTAATTAATTTAATTTTTAAATTGACAAACGAATATGCAGTCCACCTAAACGGGATGATCAAAATATGATTACCTTCTTCATCACTCCCAACCATCTTGTATCTGTCGTAGCCGGTTAAGTGTCGATGTGTCCCGAGGCCAAAATCATCTTTTGTCCATTGCAGCTGACCAACTTTGCCCTCGACTCGGCAGGGCAATGTTACTCTGGATCCAACTACTGCACTCTGGGTAAGAAAAATACGTAATGGGTATTTATAATTGAAGAAAGTCACAAAAAATAATAAAGAGAGCGTAATGTGGTCGTAGAGTAAAAGATCAGCCCATTAGCTCTTTAATAATTAGGTGTTGTAAGATAATAGAAAAGGCCAGAATGACCACATAGCCTCCAATAAAGTCGGACAGTACCGGCGAAGACCATACTTATATCTGACGGGTTGTAAAAGTGTAGTAAAGTAAAATGCGCAGGTCGGTCGGTCAGTCGGTGGATGCGGGTGGCTCAGAACGGTACTTTGTGGCAATCTCATAGAATACCAGCGTAATGCCGCTGTGCTTCGTATGGTTATTGTAAAGAATCGGTGACCCATTTTACTGCAATCGAGGAAATCCATCTTAGTACTCAGGGGTGATAGCGCATTTGTATTTTGATCCTTAGTTGAAGATAAATGTGGATGTCTATGGGCCACAGCATTCACTTACCATCAGGTGGACTGTGCGTTCGTTTGTCACCAAATGCTATAAAAAATCTACCGGGGAGGCCGATTCTCGACGGTAAACTTGCGATGGGCTGTAGTAGTGGTATAATTTTTTTTATATTTATTTTACTGAGTGATGGCGGCGTAAGAGTATCCTTTTCATCCGGTGGGTGTCGTGAGAGGCGACTATGTAAAATGAAAGAAAAAATGTTGTGCCATGCGATAGATAGCGGTATATCTATCTCTTTTACTTCAGACACAAAAAATGTAGACCGGTGGGAGCAGCGGCGTTAAAGTACGAAAACTCTGATACTACATTCTCCAATCTGTCTGCCAAGATTAATAGTGAAAGCTAATTCTCCGACGACGGGGAAAGACACGTGTCTAGTGATAGACTTCTATAGGCTGCAAGAAGTTCACTCCTAAGAGAGAAGAGAAAATCGAGAAGAGGAAGATTAAGTAAAGTATACAAGTGAAATTTTATTCGCAAAAGGTAATATTGTAAAATTATTAAAATAATAATAATATTATAAGAGTTTAAAAAAATCTTAAGCAACACGCATTGAACATGTGCTGTGATGATTCTGATAATTATTTTATTTTATCCTGGTGATCCTAATCAGGATACTAAGATAAAGTTATTAAATTTTTGTATTGCCATCGGTACGGTACGAATATAAATTACCAAGTCAATCGGCCATCTACAAATTGATGAAATTTACATTTAAAGGTTCCGTTACGTAGGTAGATAGATACACGCAAAGATAATAAAGGCATGATAATATATATATATATATATATATATATATATATATATATATATATATATATATATATTAACTTGTGTATTATTGGAATATTGTGATCGTCCTTAGTACACTATATACCTGACTACGTAGAAGAACACCTTTCTGCCTAAAGGTAGGACCGTAATAGGCTGAATTACACCGCAGCGGAATTGAGCGACACGACGCGTCAAAATATTCTTTATATGAAATTATATGAGATAACCCGCACTAAGCGGGAACGGAACTACACTGCAGCAGAACTGTGCGGCAAAGTTGATGAACTGACCAGATCGTGTCGCTCAGTTCCGCTGCTGTGCAATTCCGCCTAGTGCGGTCCTACATTTAGAGTAAATCCGAGTAGGTGTCACTCCCTTACCTATGTCTTTCATACTGCGAATATGATTGTATTCGCGTCGAAAATTTATAGAGAGCCAGAATAATTACAGCTAAGTCTGTCCTCAGATGCATTCCATCCTAGTCCTTAGATGTACGCATCTGAAGCGTTCTATGTTTGAAGTTGGTTGTACTCGTAGGTATCCATTTACCATCAGATGGGCTGTAAGTTCGATTGTCATTTCTGATTTATTTAAAAAAATTGTGCAAGTGCAATTAAATTATTAATATGCGACTACTTTAAAAATTTATTACAACCTAACACCTCTACCGCATAGAGCATATTTACCCAAAACTCCGTGCGTGACAACTTTCACCACATTTCTTTTTTATACAATAAGAGTTGTCAAACGAGCACACAGTCCACCTGATGGTAAGTGGATGCTGTCACTTACAGACATCTACATTTATCCTCGATTTTAAAAATCAAAACGCAGATGCGTTGTCACCCCTGAGGATTAAGATGGAATGCCTCGTATCCAGTAAAAATATTATCCGGTGCTCTACCTTCACCATACGAAACACAGCAGTATTAAGCTGCTATTTTACGCTGGTATTCTGTGAGAGCGTGTTACCTCCCTGGTCGAGCCAACTAATTCGTGCTACAGCCATAATAAAACTGCAGCGTGACTCTAACACGTATAAAAATATATTTTAGTAACATAATTAAAGTAATAGAATAGGTAAAATTATATTCTAATTTATTCTAAGCTTACATAATATTTAAAAAAATTATATAACATTCAAAAATACCAAATAAAACTTTTTGATGTAAAAAAAATTAAATTTGAGGTAAATGCGGTCGAATAAACGAATTGCTTTATTACGATTCTAATACCCATGAGTGTCGTAACCGATTAATATAAAACGAGAAAATGTTTCATTGTCTAAAATTCCATTTAGCCCGGGAAAACCGCACCAAAAGTTAGTAATAAATAAATCAGCAGGCGTGGCCCTAACCCAAAAATCAAAGTTCCGGCAGAACTTCTGAATATTAATTTTGAAATTACAATTACATAAATCAAACTTTTTGACTAAACCTCCCGGGAATAATAAGAATTATGTGCCCAATATCATTCTTTACGATAGCAACTAGAGCGCGGAGTTGACATGAAGGCCCTGTATTGAAAATATCGAAGGATATTAAAAATTCCTTGCCTCGAGCACAATGCTGGTTTGAAAGTTTGCCTTTTTAGCGGATGATATGTACGGGCTATATAGAACTATTTCATTTCCAGTTGACTGAAATAAAACAAATATTATTGAAATAATATCACCACCGTAGAGGATTATTGTGATTCTCCTTACCAGATCAATTTGAAAATATTTCTGCTTGTTATTGATATGCTACCGATTTTACATTTTAAACTTACTGTGAAAACTATTTTTTATAGCATTGGGTGACAAACGAGCACACAGTCCACCCGATGGTAAATGGATGCTCTGGCCCGTAGACATCCAAATCTATCCGCAATTAAGGAACAAAATGTAAATGCGTTGTCACCCCTGATCACTACGATGGAATACCTTAATTCCAGTTAAAAGGGTCTCCGGTTCTCCACACTCACCATACGATTTTACGCTGTTATTCTGTGAGAGCATGGTGGTGCTACAACTATAATATAGCTGCAGCCTGGCCCTACCACATAAAAACTGCCTTGTCTCTGTGTGATAAAAATATTCTTTTAAATCTGAATCAACCAACCATCTTACAGTTCACCTGATGGTAGTTGACTACTGTAGTCTTAAGACACATGGCAGTCATCATCAAACAAAAAAGGTTAAATATCAAAGCATTGCCACCCTTTGAGGACTAAAATGGAATGCCCCACAACATCTAATTTTACTGACTTTCTTTACAATTCAGATACACAGCACAAAAGTACATGCACTGCTATTTGATAACAGAAATTTGTAAGAAGGTGGCTGCTACCCACATGGACTCCTCGACAGAAAAACAGTTCTAGCATCCAGTAAAGGTGTGAACGCATTAATACCAGCGTGAAATAGGACAGTGAATGTAGAGAACCGGAGACCCTCTTTACTGGAAACGAGGCATTCCATCTTAGTCCTCGGAGGTGACAAAGCATCTGCGTATTGATTCGTAATTGAAGATAAATGTAGACGTTTATGGGCTACAGCATCCACTTACCATCAGATGGACTGTGTACTCGTTTGTCACCCTTATATTATTTTTAAAAAAATGGATCATTAAATATGAATGTCGGTGCATATGGGGCACAGTTTCCACTTACCATCAGCGGGATTGCATATCGATTTTTTCCCTTACTTCTATAAAAATGTTAGACCAAAAATTCCCATCGGAATACTCTATTACGCAAACTAATAAAAGCAATGTCGACCATGATAGACCGTTACACTCCCTTTCACTCGCAGCCTATTAAAATAATGTTGGAGGTTGCGTTGGAGGTTTACAATAAATTTACGGGTAATATGAAGATGGGCGATCGAATAACTTTGTTGAGAGAAGCATTTTGTTTGTGGTATAATTTGATTTGTTTGCAAAATAGCCCCAACAGCGAGAGCCAAGTAATTAGCCTTCATAAAACGTTGTTTTAAAGTTGTGGAAATGATGGTTTAGACGATAAAGGCAAACTTTTGTGAGCTGTTATTCTAGGAAACTAAAAATCTAAAATTAAATTTTGAGTTTAAGCATCGTACAATTTCAACCCATAAATCGTAGAGTACTATAAAACCGTGTTTGAACTCAATATTATTTAAAATTATATTTAGAAGTATTTGCCACTGTTAGGACTCTAATAAAACTTGAACTCGATGGGATGATGATATTATATCCAAAAATACAGCATTGTTTAAAAAACATATATGTTTTAGTATTGAACCCACGACTCCATGCTCAAAAAAATAGCGTTATTAAGTTGTAAGCGATAAGAGTTGCTATATATTATTGATATTTATTTTTATTTTTAAATAATAAAAGTGACAGCAATTAAGACATTACCATTACAGTTAATAAAGTTGACTGCTGAACATGGTCTTTGAAGATTGCTCCATAGGTGGGACTTTGCCATATTTGCCACACTTGGCAGGCGGTTTATCAAATACAGTATTTTTTTAAATTATATTAACATTATAGTAATATTCCCGTTAACCACCCCAAATATCGATTGGTTTCGAACTCACGACTAAGCTGAGGTCGTCGGGCGGCTGTAATCGGCCGGTTGTGGAATTGGTTGTGTTTGAAAAAATTTTGTGGGATAATCAGCTTCAGCAGCGGATTGAAATAATTTTTAACTGAAAGATTATTTTAGTACAATATGGATTTGATAGCTATCTATGTCTACCTATGAACTACAACTATTTGTGCTCTTCTTAAAACGCCGAAAATAGACTATTGATTATATGATTTATCCAAGGGGTTTACTTAAGTTTTTTAGTGAATGGTGAATTCGTCTGGCTCTACAAAAAAAGTAAAGATTTTTTCCAAATCGATCTCGGTTTAATTTTGTCGCGAAATTTAAAGCTCTTGGCTTATTTCAAAACGATCAGCCGACCTCAGAGTACCTGTTATACCGTTGCGCCTGTCAAAAGTCCACTTTTGAACATATGTCTCTCCCATTGATTGCCTAATAGTGAGGATACCACGCTTGGGGCCTTGTGGATTTTCGACCCGCTTGGGGTTAGTAACCACAGTTTTTTTTTTTATTTGTTAATGGGAACACTTTACCGCTCATCTCTGGTTTGCTTCCCTCTGTCGTCTTTTACCACTTCGACTGGACATTAAGGGGTATTGAATACACGATTCTTACATCGCCACTACTCGGTTCCTTCCACCTTTTTAAAACGACTGACTAACAACCTGGCTCATCATGTATAAAACAAATTTCTGTAACATAGGTCTCTCCTCATTTATAAGAGGGTTATAGAGCAAGAAAGTCTCCGCCGCACTGCTCGAATGCGTGTTGTTTTCATCAGGCAATCAAAGTCAAGTCAAGTCAAAAGGCGCTGCTTTATCGACGCCATTTTGACAGTTGACGTTATAGTAAATATTTTTGTTGATTCTAGTATGGTGTAAAGTAGATTTTTTTAAGTTGATTTTTCGAAGTTATATAAAGTAAAGTAAAGTTACAGCCTATATACGTCCCACTGCTGGGCTCAGGCCTCCCCTCATTTCTGAGAGGGTTTAGGGCAAGAAAGTGTCCGCCGCGCTGCCCAAATGCGTGTTGACGAACTTCACATGTCTTCGAAATATTTTTTTTTCTTATTCCTCAGACATGCAGGTTTCCTCACGATGTTTTCCTTCACCGCCGAGCACGTGGTAAATCAGCACTTAAAATTGCAATTAACAATTTCATTGGTGCCGGCGGGGATCGAACCCGGGTTACTCGCGTTCCGTTATATTTACAGCGAGCGTTAACCACTGAGCTACCACGGCTCAGTTAGTCATTCGAAGTTATAATTGTTCATAATTATTGCCTGAGCTTGTTTTATTTCCTCATAATATATTAGTTATTGTATACGACTTTGTGTTTTTGTCTCTGTCCTCTTTCTAGATTTGGTTTTATAAGGCGGCAAAACTTTAGGTGACCATATTATCCACACATACTATATTTATTTTTATTATTTAAGGTACGCAGGTTTTCTCACGATGTTTAACTTCACCGCCGAGCAAGCGATGAATGAACACTTGAAATTAAAAACACAATTTTAATAGTGCCGACGGGGATCGAACACAGGTTGCTCGTGTTCCATAAATTTTACAATAAGCGGTTAACCCCTGAGATAATACGGATTTCATTCTCTTTTATCTTAATTTTTTTGTTTTTTTATTTAACCGTGATACTAAGAGGCCTGGTTTGTCATAATTTCACAATACACGAGAAACCCGAACCTGATTCCTACCGGCACCACTTAAACCAATTTATCAACGCTCGAAGGTGAAGGAAAACATTGTAAAGAAGCCAAGTAGGATTTCTTACAATGTCATGTTCATTACAGTGCCTGAAAAACTTAAAATATTTTGAAGTACCTTAAAATCAAATGAATTTTAGTAAAAAGTTCAAATTGATTTTAAAAACTTTTATAAAAATGAATTTCGGAATTTCGGGATACGGGTGACAAACGAGCACACAACCCACCTGATGGTACGGAGATGCTATTTACCCGTATATCTATATATATGGGCCACAGCAGTCTGTATAACTACAACAATTATCGAATAAGAATCGAAATACAGATGCGTTGTCACCCCTGAGTACTAAGATGGAATGCCTCATTTAAAGTAAAAAGGGTCTCTCTCACACCATACTATTATTACTCGTATTCTCTACACACACCATACGAAACACAGCAGCATTAAGCTGCTGTTTTGCGCTGGAATTCTGTGAGAGTGTGGTCCTTCCCCAGTCGAGCTGAGCCATTCGCAAAGAATAAGACTTATTTAAAAATAATTTAATCGTTTAACAAAACCTCACCTGATCCTGTGGTTCGATGGCAAACTTCTGTTCTCTATATGCATATGCGCAACTCATCAACATGCATAAAATTATCCAGTACTTCATTAAAGTAAAACAGTTCCATGGTATCCTCAACAACAAAAACAGTAAATTGGCACTTCTACTCGTCACTTTCGTTCTATTTCGATGCTCCAAAATTGTAAAAGTCTGCTTGACATGCATGATGAATGTACATCGTGATGTTTTTCCTACACGAGACTCATTTTCTGTTACCTCGAATCGTTCTCCATAAAACGTCGTGTTATTTTTGAATTCACTGAATTCATTGTGTTTATGTATTGGTTTATTACTTGTTTTGTTATCCATTTTATTTTAAGGTATCGGTGCGTGCGTGCAGCCATATGTTATATCCATGGAGGTGGATTATTTCAAAATTTACATTTGTTTTCTGTTTGAAGTTAGCTCGTGTGCTGAATCTGCAACAAATAGACTAACATTAATTACCGATTCCAAATCTTAAAAACAACTATGCATTGTAGTGATGGGTATTTATTCAACAGTTTTAGACTGTTTTTTGGCATCAACGGATAGACCGTTTACAGTTCACGAATAAGCTAGTTGAATCATGAACGATATAAATGCATAGCGGTATCGATCTTGTACAACAGTGCAAAGTTCACGGTCACAGGGTCAGGTCTAACAAACGACATTGAGGCTAGTATTAAAACCACCCACCCTGGTGTTTCATTATCATCGTTAAATTCTACCGCTGAACATAGGCCTCTCTTTCTATTCTCTCTCTCTCTCTATCTCTCTCCCGCCGATCTTTCTCTCTCTCTTTTCTATCTCTCTCTCCCTCTCAGTCTCTAGAGGATTTGGCTTAATCTTTGCATTTGACAGAAAAATTGACGATCGCAGCGACAGATACACCTTTTACTCAGCTGCCCGACGAAAGTCTGGGCATTTTAAAACTGATAAACAAGATGGTTAAAAGCCATTTCGACTATGTCGCCACTTTTGACACCCACGGGCACTCCAGAGTATTGAATATTCGTTTAACAGCGACATTTATATATATTTCGTATAGCCATGTAAGAAGGCGCATCGTATGTTCCGGCGTATGTTGCTCGAGAAGAAGAATAGGGAAAAGAGTTGAGTAAAGGAGTAGCCAAGTGATGGCGCTGGTGGGGCAACGGAAGTGTGCTAAGCCGTTCTCGTGGACTTTTCAATATGCGACAAAGGTGAGTTAATTCACACCTTAAAAGGACAATCAGGTTTTATTTGGTGCGAGCTCGTCATAACTCGTCCTTGAACCCACAAGGCGAGAAGGGAGAAGAATATCTTTGGCATTTCAAGAAAAAGGCTTCAAGAAAAAGGCTGGCGAACTTCACCAAAGCTGCCAATCACTCGTAACATTATTATCCAGTTTATTTCTTGAAAGTAAAATCAAAATTATGGCAGAATTCCGGGAATAATAGAACTATGTTTCCAAATAATATAGAAATAATTTCAATTTAACACATTTTGTCAACAACAACTTTTAAATTTATACGTCACCAATTAGACCAGGGTCAAAGCCGTCAAAAATAATTAAAAACGAAAAAAAAATTAAAGTAGGATGAAACCTGTTGGAAAAGGAAGGGATTACCACTAAAATGATAGGAAAAATAAGTTACGGGCGATCTGAGGTTGGGAAGGGGTAGGGGGGTTTTTTAAGGGTATAAATCGGTAAATCTCGGTTTCCGACAAAACTACATGTCCTATCGAAAAAAGTTCAATGGCAAAGTTGTAGATAATAAAAAGATCTACAACTTTTGTATCTATAGTTTTTCTCCATAATCTCAAAATTCATGTGAAAAATCCAAAAAAAAACCACATTTTTGATTTTTTATTTTTATCTTTTACAAAAAAATTGTTTTTTTCATGATATTTGGTGAAAACTTACCTCTTTATGTCCCAAAAACACTGGAATTTTGAAGATTTAAAATATTAATTTTTTCACCCTATTTTGACTCGATATCGAAAAAGCACCCTAACCCTAATTTTCAATCGAAAATTCTCACGTCAAAATATCTGATTTTTCAAAAAAGTCGGTGGATTTTTTGTTCGTTGATATCTCTATTTTCTGATGATGTAAAAAATATACATTACTATTGAAAAAAATTTTCAAAAAATGCAAAAAAAAAACGAAAAATACTAAAATTCGATTTTTTTTTAATTATTTATGTACAATTTTGAGGTATTCATTAAAATGTTTACTTTAATTACTTGAAAAACGTTACGTTTCATGTTAGATTAATAAACAAAAAATTACAAACCAATTAAACATAAATATCGCAAAAAAAAACATAGTTGTTGTAAATATTAAAAATACGATTTAAAGGGGATTTTATTAAAAAAATGTGACTACTGCTATTTTTTTCAGTAATAAAAGTTTATTTATTAAATTTTCATTACATTTATATATTAGAAAATCTCATTAGATAGAAATATACACGTAAATCGTACTATTGAGTAGAGATATTTTTTAATGATTACATTACACATTATATTATTTTTAAAATCATTAATCTTTGTGTTTATCAAAACATAGTATTCAATTCGAATCACTTATTTATCAGTATCTGTCTTTTTGATGGTATTTCTTGATCGTTAGATTCGACAGGCCTTTCTGATTCTGGTAGATCTTCGACATCTTCAAGACCATCATCGTCTTCGTCTCCAACATTATTTTCGGTCTGCATTGGTTCTTCATCCGCAATTTCATCTGAATCATTAACTTCCTCGTAGATTTTTTTCTCCACATTGGCGCATTGTTCAGAACCATGACAATTTGAGCATAAATTTGTGCATTTTAAACCATGTTTTCGGCAGCCACATTTTAAACTATTACATCCAGTTTCACAGCTGCAGCAAATAGTTTTCAGCAATTTTTCCGGAATTAATTCCATTTCTTTAAATTTGGGCATAATTCCATGTTGATGTTGCTTCCAGCCCCAATCTGTTGCTGTCAATTCATTACCCAGCCACATTTGAAGCTGATAATATGCCCTGTAACAATGTTTTTCTGCTTGCACCTTCCGTGGGTGGGAGATTTGCCAATATGAAAGATGATTTAATTATTGCCAATTGATATTTTTTGAAATCTTAATTGATTCAGTGTTATATTATCCTTTTTACTTTTATAAATAGATTTAATTAATTTCAATTCATTTTTATATCTTCTTTGTTTATATCTTTTTTTTTTAAATATTAGCCAAATTTGACAAATTTTTATTGTCTAATAATGAATTTACGATAGTTTTCTTTCCTTTTCCGGCAAATCCGGATATTGTGTCGCAACCAGAAAAGCAATGCAGAAATGCAACGATGTTTTTGACGGATTCACATATTTTATATTTCCAGAACCGGACTTGAGAAAATAAATTTTATGATTATTAGAATTTAATTGATTCAAAAGGACCAAAAGATCTTGTCCTACAACAATGACAGTTTTATTAGTATCTTTGGCAATTTCTATCGAGGTCTTAATAATGGAAAATCTTTTTGACTGTAATACTTGCATTAACGATTTTATAACGGACATTACCTGGCGTGATCTCGAATACTGGCTAACGGTTTTTACAGCTGCTACGAAATAACAGGTAGTAAGGCCCAGACCCTCCAAGCCCCTTCCCCACTTCTCTATGAAATACCTTTTGATGGACTACAATTTTCCAAAGGTCTCTCAGGTATATAGGTATAATTTTAAAATAGCAATAAATAGGCATCTACGCATATAATTTAAAGAAAATTCGACAAATTTCTAAAAATTTTTTAGATGTCATAGTAAATATTAACTTTATTAACTTATTTAGTTGTTAATTATAGTAGTATATTTCAACTTGCAATTTTTGTTTATTAATCTTACATGAAACCTAACGTTTTTCGAGTAATTAAAGTAAAAATTTTAATGAATACCTCAAAATTGTACATAAAGATTTAAAAAAAAAATCAAATTTAAGTATTTTTTGTTTTTTTGCATTTTCTGAAAAAAATTTCAATAGTAATGTATATTTTTTACACCATCAGAAAATAGAGATATCAACGAACAAAAAGCATACCGACTTTTTTGAAAAAATCGGATATTTTGACATGAGAATTTATGATTGAAAATTAGGGTGCTTTTTCGATATCGAGTAGTCAAAGTAGTAGAAAAAATTAATATTTTAAATCTTCAAAATTCTAGTGTGTTTGGAACATAAAGAGGTAAGTTTTCACTAAATATCATGAAAAAAAAACAATTTTTTTTGTAAAAGATAAAAATAAAAAGTCAAAAATGTGGTTTTTTGGATTTTTCACATGAATTTTGAGGTGATGGAGAAAAACTATAGATACAAAAGTTGTAGATCTTTTTTATTATCTACAACTTTGCCATTGAACTTTTTTCGATAGGACTTGTAGTTTTGCCGGAAATCGAGATTTACCGATTTTTACCCTTAAAAAACTCCCCCTCTACCCCTTCCCAACCTCAGATCGCCCGTCATTTATTTTTCCTATCATTTTAGTGGTATTCCCTTCCTTTTCCAATAGGTTTCATCCTACTTTAATTTTTTTTCGTTTCTAAAATTATCGACCCTGATCTAAATATTTTAAATTTCTTCCTAATTTTATAATATTTCAGCAATTTAATGTGGAATATAATGCATGGATTTTTTCACAAGGTCCATACTCCTGCGAAATCAATGCAACAAGATATGTAGAGATTTACGACGCCGCCACATCCATAAATCAGTACAAAACAAAGATCCATGTCGTATTTGGAACTTCTTAAAGTCTATTGGAGTTGGGAAAACTCGTTCATGTTCTATTCCAAATAACGTTGATTTAAATTTGCTTAATCAAAATTTTTCTTCCGTTTCTTGCCTGAACAATATGGCAAAATCAGCAACACTTACTCAACTTTCATCGTTTTCCACTCCTGACTTTTCTCCATTTGTGTTTAGGCAATTTGCAGATTGTGATGTTAGGAAACACATACTCTCTATCCATTCCGACGCTGTCGGAAGTGATGATGTGAGTCGTAAAATGATCATTCCCTTGTTGGACTTTTTAACACCTATTATAACCCATATCTTAAACTTTTCCATATCCTCATCTTCTTTCTCTTCCCAATGGAAGGACGCTCAAATCATACCTTTACCTAAAAAAAACAAATCCTTCAAGTTTTTCTGAATATCATCCTATTTCAATTCTTCCTTTCCTATCCAAAGTTTTAGAACGCCTTGTCCAACAACAAATTAATTCCTTTTGTTTAAGAAATAGCATCCTTAGTCCTCTCCAATCTGGCTTTAGATCTGGTCATAATACGACTACGGCGTTATTAAAAATCACCGACGACATTCGTCACGGTATGGAGAATCATCAAGTCACAGTATTGGTGTTGCTGGATTTCAGCAATGCCTTCAATACTGTTGATCATGATATCCTGTTAGGGATTCTGCGTTCTCTTAACATATCTCCAACTGCAATTTCCTGGTTTCATAGTTATTTGCACGGGCGCCGGCAACGTATTCGTGTCCAAGATAGACTTTCTTCGTGGCTTGATACCGTAGCTGGCGTTCCACAAGGTGGTGTCTTATCTCCTCTTTTATTCGCAATCTTTATTAATACGATTACATCCCAAATATCTTCTCTCTACCACTTGTATGCAGATGACCTTCAAATATATTTACAAACAATTATCGAAGATCTTGCCAAAGCTGTTGAATGTATCAACAAGGATCTGGCTTTTATTCTCGACTGGACACGATTTTATGGGTTGACGGTTAACCCTTCAAAATCGCAAGCTATAATTATTGGGAGTTCAAGAACTATTTCCAAAATTAAAAAATTTCAAATTCAACCCGTTGTATTTAATGGTATTCTTATTCCATATAATGAAGTAGTTAAAAATTTAGGTATCCTTTTGGATTCCAGTCTGTCTTGGACACCCCAAATTAACGCAGTGAGCCGAAAAATGTTTGCGGCTTATGCTTCACTCCGAAGGCTTAACTACTTTTTACCCATTTCCACCAAAATTACGTTTGCACAATCTTTGCTACTCCCTATCCTCGACTATGCTGATATTTGTTACCTTGATATCACTGAGAAGCAACTTAATAAACTTGAGCGACTCCAAAATCTCTGTATGCGGTTCATATTTGGGCTTCGTAAATATGACCATGTCTCGGAATACCGCACTAAACTCAAGTGGCTCCCAATCCGTCTTTGTCGGAATACTCATGTACTTACTGCGCTCTACTGCGTCTTATTTAATGTATCAAGTCCTCCCTATCTGAAAGAACGTTTTAAATTTCTTAGCTCTTATCACGATTTTTCCTTACGGTCCAAAGAAAACCTTTCGCTCCAATGTCCTGTACACTCCTCGACATTTTATGATAAATCTTTTGCTGTTCTTGGAGTAAGACTCTGGAACTCCTTGCCCCAGTCCATTAAAAGTGCTCAATCTTTAAATGTGTTCAAGAAACAAATTAAGGAACACTATTTGTCTCTTTAACTCCTCTCTCTTTCTCCTCTTAGTTATGGTCACTAATATACCTTAAGTATGTTGTCATTTTATAGTATATAAGTTGTATTTTTTTTTGTCTAATTTAGTGCACCCTACCCATTAATCTTATTTTTTTTTATTAATTTCCTCTTCTGGGTTGTCTGGAAGAGATTGCTATGTAGCAATAAGACCGCCTTTTGTTTATTCCTCATTATTTTTTCATTATTTGTTATATTTATGTTTTGTTGGTGTACAATATAGAGTATTGTATTGTGTATTGTAACTTAAGTTAAAATATATTACAGAAATGTTATAAAACGTAAGTAATAAAATGAAAGATAATCAATGTTTGTAAACGATTTTATTTATATTTACGGTTTTTTATATTTAATGTTTAATCAATTGTAAAATATTGTTTATGAACAATGAAAAACGATTTCTTACTTCTATCCCGTACAACTTATCAACTAAACTAGTTTAAAAAAACTGAAAAGAAAAAAAACGGTATCTAATTCTGGAAAGGCATTAGTACGCCCACGTAGTAGTAAGCACCTCAATTACGTAATTTGCTATCCGAAATTGCAATTTGAATAGCAAAAACAGACAAAACAGTCTTCATTAATATGCATTATTTCCATAAATTGAATTGCACTGCAGTTAATTTCGTGAGATCGTATCTGTTTCGATTGGCGCACAAAATTGAATCCGTTTTTGTTGCTCCTCGTAATCGCTACGTTTTAAAACCGACGAACGTAAATCAAAAGCACATATAAAAGACATAAACATCTCTTGCACAGGGTATTATGAGTACAGATATATGAATAAATCATTACGATCTATTGCAAAAGTCGGCAGTTTCTGCTGCAGTGCACTAACAGTTCGAGGAAGAAAGGGGAGTCGTATATCTGAGTATTCGAAATTACTATGAATTCTCGATCGTAAGTGAAAGTTTCTTTTGAATAAAACTGAATAAAGTGTGTGACGACTTGTTAATAATGCCAATGTAGATTGTGAGATCCATTATACTTTTTACGAGAAATTCTGTGTGAATATAGTATTACAAAGTATTGTTCAATTACACAAAGTAGCAATTCCCAGTATAACTATAAAATTATGCTCACACTAAAAAAATATCATTTGTAATAATATTTCAAGCTTTTTTTTATATATTTTATTAGGAGTCTGAGGCATTTCACAACTCAATATTACCGTGTGCGAGAATTCATCACCCGTTCTTTCCGGGAGTGTTGCAGGAGGTTACAGCCTACTAAAGTCCACTGCTGAACAAAGGCATCCCCCATGGATTGCCTTAAACGGGCATATATGCCATAGTTGCCTTGCTTGACAGGCGTGTTGACAACCGCAGGTTTTTTATTTTTAGTCTATGTTTGGAACTCGCTGCTGCCCGTCACCTGATTTGTTTTCCTACCTCGACACCTACGAGATGATATGGGATATTTAATGAATATCTACTACCTCAATAATTTACGCCGCCACAAGGTA